ATCCAGGTGCATATTAGGGATAGGAGTTAATTTACTGGGAAATTAGTGAAAAAGAAACACCAGGACCATGTAGATCGGTTTAATACAAAAACATTTTTACAACCAAAATGAGGAGCCTGACAGTATCGGTTACAGAGAGAGGGGTGACAGTTTCTCAGTAAGTGAATTGGAGATGGAGTCGATGGAGCCACAAAAGTGTGCCTATGCTCACTTCCTATTTGCTACCAGGCTAGCTATGCCCATTTATAGAAACAGTCTATGTGTTGGACAGATTGCTGAAAATGTGGCAACTGATCTGTGGCAACTATTACAACTAATCACTCACACACTGTATTGATACATTTTCTGTGAATTGTGTTGCTCAATGTTATCACAGTGACAATAGCTCTGGTTGTGACCACTGTAGTGAGAGAAAGTGTAGTATGAATGAATTTAAGAGATGTATGTTGTGAAAAACGACATTGGTTATTGGTGTGAGAAGAGGATTCAGTGTATAAAGATGGAGACAGATGATAAGCAGTAAAATCCCAACCTCTTGGCTCTGTTTTTGAGAATTACCATGGTCACATATTGTTATCTTAAATGTGTCTACCATTAAACTAATTACTTTTCTTCCTCCTTTAATCCTGTTTGCAGCTGCCCTGTCCCGTTCTGTCTCCGTCACTGATAACGGTGAGTGTTTTGGTCCAAGTGAAAAGTGGACAATGACAGATCTGGCAAGCCAAAATCCCTTTCTAGTTTGAAGCATAAAGATGCTCAGTTTTACAGAGTTTTACCAGGCTTGTTACCAGTAGCCCTTATGGTCTCTTTAGGGGTAAGATATATTTTGTATATTCATTCAAGCCCAAGCAATTTCTTGACCAATTTCTTGTAAGTCAGTCATGATGGCCCTATTACGTTTCATAATCTCATTGAGCTTGTAGCACTTCAGATCAGCTCCCTGTTTCTGCTGCATCATGACATTTTTCTGCTCTTTGACACCAGTGAAATTTAATCCCCTTCATGGTAAACAAGACCAGAGAGAAAGAGAGAGAGTGGAGGAGGAGAGGATCTAACAGAGGAGGGCTAGTGTTTGAACCTAGAGAGGAAAGAGTAGATGGACTAAGAGATAAAGAACAACACACAAAGCTGAAAAAAGACATAGTGAAAAAGGAAGAGTGGAAAAACACAACTGAGACTTTGCTTTCCTCTACTGGTCAAGCAGTGTCATTACACAAAACATTTCAGCAACACAAAACGAGATAGTAATGCTATTTTGATGGTAATATCTGTATAACTGGAAAATGTAAATATTGTATAGATTAATCATGAGTATTTGTTTTATTCCTTTGCTCTTTTAGACTACAAGTCATCTTCACTTCCAGACTACAGAAGAAATGGAGTCAAAAAGGTGAGCGCTGTAGCTGTGTGTGGGTAAATGTAGCCTATACTTCAAACCAGAATGTTTTGTCAATGCTTGGGGTTGCATAGTTTAGAGCATGTTTTCAATGTGACTATCGGAGTAATACACTTACCATATCCATTATATTCAATAACATTAGCCTAACATGAGTTTATATCCTCTGTTTAACTCATCGTCCTATTTTTTCAGCCTGTTGGTGGAGCCACAGATTATTACCAGTACGACAGCAGTAATGCAGTTAACTGGCAGATTAGAGGTAAGACTATTGTACTTTTCAAATCCATTATTTCCTATTTATCTTTCATGACTTTATGATTACTCAAAGTTTTTCTTGACATAATATATATTTTTGTGTTTTCTTTTTCAGAATATAAGGTAAGCCGTTCTGTCAACACTGATGAGCTGTTCAGGCGTCTTTGTGAATGGTCTGTGTCTGTGAGTAGAATATGAGAGTGCCAGCACAGCTTTGGTCTTGTTCAAAAATCACATTGTTTCCCATAAAGAGACTTGTCATAAGTGTGTCACTTCTGAATGATGAGAGCAAAAGTTCACAAAGCCACTGTCAAGGCGTTTGACTGCAGCAGCGCTTTGTCATGTAAAGCAGCACAGCAGTTCAATGGCGCATCTATACAAATGACAACTATATTCAAATCTAACAAGCTGTTTCAATTCAGTAGCTTTAATTCATATTAACTTCTCAAGATGAAAAACTGTTTTAGTTCTTGTTTGACTAATACATTCAAATCTACTTAAACAACAATTCATTTCTGTTATATTGTTGTTCTTCAGCTATGCGTTGCAACAATTAAATTACCACATTACGGGACAAATACAGGGTCTCTCCTCTTATGATTTATCTAGTTATCTTATGTTTTCTAATGACAACTGAGAATATTCTATCTTAGAATCATACATTTCCCCCTGATTACAACAAAAAATACTGAAATAATCTACATGTAGAATTGTTATATTGTGTAAAAAATGCTCAACTCAGTGAATAAAATGTATGCTGCAATAGTGATGTAATAACTGCATGTGGCCAGTAGAGGCTGACATACTTCTTTGATGGTCCCTGTAGTGTCTATATCTCTCCATGGTGCTGAAACAGTCTGGTTTGAGCTGACATGCGTTGGCTTCAAAGACTCTTCCTAAAAAGGCTTGCGCATGTGTGTTTTTTTTATCTTCTCTCTGTTTTCGCTCCTCTCTCTGTCTCTCTCTTTCATCCTCTCTCCTATTTCTCTGCGTCAGATTTACCCCTATGAGGCTCTGGTGGTGTCAGTCAGAGGTGAGCAGCGCCTCCCCACTGATGTGGACCGGGCCAGGCTAGAGGTAATACACCACTTTAAAGCAGGGTTTTTCCTTATGCTCTATTTTGATCTGTTTAGGTGACGACCAGAAACAAACATGTTTTTATTTATTTATTTATTTGTTTGTTTGTTTGTTTGTTTGTTTATTTCATTCATATAGTATAAAAAGACATCAACAGTGTCTCAACATCAAACATACAAGAAATGAATGAAAAGGAGCAGAAAGTAGAGTAATCTTCTAAACATGTATACATGCAGCAGCCTCTTTATGTATAATTATCAACAGGAATTTAATTCAGTCCAACAATCGCATAGCCTTTTGCACTTTATAATATTGGCTTGCAAAACATTTTAACTATTAATTTTGAAAATATAAATAAAAGTAAACTAATAACCTTCTGGTATTTTTATAATAACAAAAATAAAATGTGTTTGTGTTCCAGCGGCATCTTTCCCCAGAAGAGTTTCACAGAGTTTTTGGGATGCCAATGTCAGCCTTCGACCGCCTCGCACAGTGGAAGAAGAATGAGCTGAAAAAACAAGTCAGACTTTTCTGAACACCTCCAGTCACAACTGTCCAGTCCCATATAAATAAAGTTTACACAAAGAACTACTCACTGGTCCCTAAAGTAGCAATGGGACACACTTTTCTTTTGTTCTTTTAAAGCAATACATCAGTGGTCAAATCGAAATGTGTCAAAACTAAACGGAAAGAAGGCAAATATGAGTAAAACATGAGTCATCCTGAATCACAACTTGATTAAGGAGTTATCTGCATTTCAATGTGTGACCACAAGAGGGCAGTGACTGGACATCAATTCAAGCATAATCCCCGCCATAAAAGGCAATTGTGATTGTTTTTTATCCTTGTGAAAAAGAGAACGTTGTTGACTGTTTTCTATTATATGGATTATGGTTGGTTATTTAAATATGACTGTACAGTTAAAATTATTTATTTATTAAGATTTTATTAAGATATTACAATGACTTGCTTCACGGCAACATCAGCAATGCAAATTATGTCTTATTTTGTAATTTATTTCAGATTTATGTTATGGTAGATATGTGGTAGAAATTGTTAGAATTACAGTGACTGGTCAAATATGTAGGCTTTGACAATGCCTATCCATGAGTATAACATGTATTTAATTTATAGGTTTCATCTTCCTGTTTTAGATTTGAGGACTTTTTTCCGATTCAAATATAATTTTTGTTTTTAAACACTAATCAGTATAGCAACAATCCTAATTTTTAATGATTCTGAAACCCATGGATAGGCTAATTTTACAAATGAAGGTGAAAGGGAGATTCTACAGTCATTTCCATTTAACAACTAAACATAACATTAGTTTTTCTATATGTAACAATAGACTGCATATATTCAGTCTATGGTAACAACAAAAATATGAACTGCTTCAGACCTATTAATTGCATTTGGGGAAATATTAACCGGTGTAGGACTGATTAATGTTCTATGTTAGAGTTGGAAAAGGAAAAGCAAAGTAGGGAAAGTAAAGGATTATTTTTAGTATTGGGGTCAAGAGGGACTAAAGGGTGCATGGAGAGGGAGGACAAGAGGGCTGCAGGCACGTCACATTTGAGGGGTTTCGTGCGGAGAATAATTAGACTGTTTTTGAATGTGCACAGGCAAGGAGATGGCAAGTAGAGATGTGGGTAGTTGTTTTGGCATAAGAATAAGAAAAAGGCTAATGATGCCCAAATATGGAGTTACTGAAATCTAAACATGAAAACAGTTCTTCTTCAGGGACTACTTGTGTGAATGTGTGTGGGAGTGTTTTGAAAGGGATATTTACACCTAGCAACATCACATCTGTCCACAGTTTTTAAATAAACAAAATCAAAATAATTCCTGTCTCCTCTTCGTTTGTCTGTTTGGTTTAGCTGAGACGAAGATAATAAAAAAGAATCATATCCGGCATATAGTCTATGATGTAGGCCCACATATAGCCTAATTAAATAAATAAATAGAATTAAAATCTGAATGCTGAGAAGAGAGGAATGCTTTTCATCTGTCTGTTAAGCATTAAACTTGGACAAATATTGTATGTGGAGAACTAGGCGTTTTAGCGGTGATAAATTTGAAGTAGAAAGAAAAAGAAATGGGCCTTTAAACTTTTAGTGCAGGTTTGTGTGATCATCATCTGTTGCTATGTCATTTCCGACCAATCAGAAAAAAGAACGCGGTTTATTTTATCCAATGAAAAAATTGAACTCGCTCACAGCGGCGCGAAATTCCGACAACAGGTTTTGCTATTTCTAAACTTTATATTAATCTTTCCTCTCTTCAAAGAAACAAAAGAACGACAGACTAAATATGTCCTCAGCTTGGAAACAAATGAAGAAAAAACATGTGGACGAGAAATCTGACAAAGCAAAGCTCTTTGATTTTACAGAAGAAGATGAAGATAAGAAAGAGTTGATTGGTTCAGAGGAGGAGACCAGCGAAGGTAATGAAGCTAAAATGAGAAGCTAAATGCTAACTTTTAACCCAGTTTAATTTAGAGCTAACCTATTTTTTCTTCTTAAGATGAAACTCCAGTCATAAACAAAAAAATAGCCAAAAAACATCCTTCTCCTGATTTTGATGAAGAGGAGCCCAGTGCTGTGGGGTAGGAGTTTTACTTGATCAAATAAGATAAGACATTTTAGATTGTTACTTTTGTTTTTCGACTTAACTCCAGTTAATTTCTATAGAAATAAAAGTAAATAAAATTCTGTACAAATATATATGTTATTTAGATTAAATATTACGTTTCAAATATTTTCTTAAATTAAAGGTACATGAGGTAACTTGTTTTGTGAAGGGCCCTACCCATATCCTGTCTGAAATGTTCCGTAGTGGCATTGTCAAAGTAATAGTGTTTTATCAAAATAAATACCGAAAGATATGCATTCTTTTTGTGAGGGGCACACCTCTACACTTACCTAACATGCAATTTGGTCTGGTGGATGACTGTCTTAGATATAATGCCATACTGTGGAATGTTGCAGGCAAAGGAAGAACATCCCCATGGGGTCAAGCAGGTAGCGGACTCCCCTAGCAAAAATGACATGGTTATGCGTTTTGTTCTCCTTTCAGAAATGAAGTCATGTCCATGATCGAGAAATTTGGGGGTATGTTTCCTTTTAGTTTTTTGGTTCAAACAATATAAAGAATCAGAAATAATATAGTCAGTCAAAAGTCAATTTGCACCAGAGAAATCACTGATTTCTATGAATTTGCACCAGTAGCAGTCACCATAATGTGTATAATGTCTATCTGTGTTTGTAGCTGATATCAATAAGTCAGTGCAGGCTAAGAAGAAACGCCTGGAAGCTTTGACCAAAAAGTACATGAAGGGAAGTCAAGAGAAACTGGAGCAGCTCTGGAACAACTATCATTCTCAAAGGTATACTCTCACCATTACCATAAAAAAAAAAACTAAAAAAAAAACATGTATCTAACTGTTAAATGTCCTGTCCCGTAATAGTGTGTATCTTCATTCAATAATCTAAATATCTAGATGTTCTTAAGCAATGTCATCTGAGACATATGTAGTAAATAGTAGTAGTAGTAGTAATAGCATTTCAGGATCTAATGACTAATAAGTTTTTTTTTAATTAATTAATCAAGTAAAAAAAATGCCAATACTTCAAGTCCAAGCTATTGCTCTCTTCCTGGATAGTATATACTCTGCCCCCCTGTGACAGTTCCAGGTAGTAACAGAAGATATACTGTAGTGTTATAATGTTAGATGAGACGAAGTATTTACAGTTACTCAGAAATGCAGTTTTAACAAAAATCTTACTAAGAAGAGCAAATAGAATAGTAACACAATAAAAAAAATTAATAAAATATGATAATAATGTAAAGTATAATTCCTTTGCTGTGTTCAGACAGAAGGTGACAGCGCAGTACTCACAGCAGTTCTTGGTGGCCCTACAGCAGTGGGAGGCCGAGGCACAGATAGCCGAGGAGCAGGAGGAGAGGCTCAATGTCAGTGCCCACTATAGAGTTTACATTTTATTTAATGGGACCTAAACATGCAGCAAGTCAAGATGTGTCTGCTATTCATATACACAGTATATACAGCGCTCAATACGAAAGGGTCATCTGCACTCTTTATATAGAGTTAGTAAATAGTTTCACACTGTATCTGTGAAATTGGTTATTGAAAAGGAATTTCTACACATCTCTTTTTAAATCCACTGATCTCATCTTTGGATTTTTTTTTTCAGAATCTGTGGAGGCAGCAGCAGAAAGTCTTGCAGCAGGCCAGAGTCGTACAAAACCAGAATTTGAAGACGATCAGGGAGATATATGAGCAATTTGTGAAGGCCGGTTAACTTACATTCCATTCCACAAGTACTGTATATTCAAGTCTCCAGTCATGAAAAGCAACTACACACATTTCAGCAACAAAATTCAAACAAATATCTCAAAGTATTTTATAATATAATATCTAATGTTGATATCTTGTGTTTTTGGGTCACTGACTATTCCAGACTTGATAAATGAAAGAAATGACAAAGAATTTTGAAATTGCGACATAACGTTACTAGCGTGACAATTGCCTTTTTTTGGTATTTTTTTATTAGAGCATGGAGGAGATGGAGAACAGCCATGAGACGTTTCTGCAGGGAGCGCAACAGGAGCTGAGGAAGGAGCTGGCCTCACTGCAGAAGAAGATCCTTATGGACACAGTCAGTGGAATAACACATTATGATGTTATGACATTTGAATAACTTGTAGCACCTCCAAACCCTTAGCATTCTCACATGCTTCCCATACGCTGGAGGAGAAATGAATACATGGCACACATAGTACAGTATAGTACATACAGTATAATGAAATTTCTACATCAGACTACAGAGGGTTCAAACCTCCAACTGTCCAGCTATTAGCTGTGAAAAGTTGAATAATAACTAATAGTTAAGCTTTCATTTTTAAACTTAAACTCATGTTACATACTGAGACTCAAATAAATGCCTGATTTATTTATGGATGTTTTTATACCACTGAAAAACATCTTTTCTCTGAGCAAACTTGCATTTCCACAAACATGACTCTCTTATTTTGCCAGAAGGACCTACTCATGCTTGTTTCCATGGAAATGTTCTTTATTCTATAACCTTCAACAGTATGCCAAAAACTTGTCTATGTTTGTGGAGAATGTTCCAAAGTATGGTTTCTTTCTGTTTCCATGGAATCATACAGTTAACACTTCCGGAGAAGTTACATATACTATAATTATAATTCTATTATTATTATTATTTTTTTTTTTTTTTGCTATTTCATTTAATGTAAAGTATGTTTAAAATCTAAGACATTTTGTTTTTATCTTGTGTTCACAGCAGCAACAGGAGATGGCCACTGTTCGCAAGTCCCTTAAATCCATACTGTTTTAACGTGAATCTTCTCATTGTTTTGTTGGTTTTGTAAAAAAGACAACCAAAAGTTTTGCCTCCTTTTATGTTTATTAATTCAAATTTAATTATATGTTCTCATTGTGTGTATTATATGATGTTGAATGGAAGTTCTGTTTCACAGAAAGATGTTGTAATAAATACTATTGATTTTATAATATAATAGCTGATTTATTTACCCATGAAGTGACACATGGAGTCTCACAAAATATTCCATGGTTTTAATGTTGACTTAGTGGACTGACATGGAAATATCTACACTTACATCAGCGTGGTGCTCCACATCATTCATACACGCCACATTGTGTCTTGCCGAAGGACACAAGCAGTATGGACATTCAAATTACCAACCTTTCCTATCTATATCAGAGAACTGCTGTGTAACCTGATCCGAAGTCAGTGATAAGAAGGGGGAACAACAAAAGGGTAGGTAGGTGATGATAGACATTGCCATCAAACAAGCCTAACTATTGCACGATGTGTTATATAAACTAAATATGATCTCATCCACCTCTCCACTTGTGTTCCTAAGGTACTCCTGAGGTGTGATGTCACGCTTGTGTTTGTGTATTGCTCTGAAACACTCCGGCGCTAGGACCGCGCAGCCCCGGGTCCAGGCGGATCTGGAGTAAACCTCAGAAGCAGCTTTGGCCCAAGTGACTCACGGCCGCACAGAGGCTACAGAGCTCCTGTGTCTCAGAACACGCCCCGTATGTTAATAAAAGTCACTTTTGAATGAAACAATCCAGGAATTGTTAGAGGAAACAGCGGGGTGACGGGGCCTGGAGAGCGGCAGTCATGGAGTCAAAGCGACAAAGCGGTGAGTAAAAGTTAGCTTTGTTCAGACTTTAGTGAAACTGCGCTCCGGTCACTGTCCCGTGCCAAACGAACGCTGTGGCCGTTAGAAGAAATATGTGTGGCCCGTCTGCTTTAGGAGCTCGTCTATGTATTAGACGTTATGCATTATTAACATAGACTTGGCATGGCACATCTTTCCTTTGCATGAGGGATCGCAACTTTGAGACTAAAGGGAGACTGTTGCAATAACCAGAATAACCAGTGAGTAAGTGTGTAGCAGTTGTAAAGGCGCTTGGTCTGCATGGGCGCTATAGGTGATTCTGTGTTTCCGAAGTCCGTCCTAAACAGAGCCGTAGTACCGGGCTGAGGTCATCGTCATGCTCCCGGTTTAACGGAGTAACGGATGGCTGACGTCATGCGCGCGCGTGCATGTACGTGCTCCGGTTTGCGCGCCGTGCGTAATAGCGCACGGTGGAAGAGAGGCATCCTCAGGTAGAGCACGGCAGTGATGCAATCCGAGCCCAACTCCGGAGTGCCGCGTTGGAAGCGACACTGCTGGAGGCTGCAGCGGCTCAATGGCCGCTCTGTCCCGGGCCTGAGGCTACAGACCCAGGCAGGAAACTGCATTATGTTACTCCAGGTGATGGAGCAGAGCCTGTAGGCCAGTGAGAGGCAAAACAAAGGCTATTGTGTGAAAGATAAGGTGAAGGCTGTTGATGCAAGTGCTTATTATAGCCATACACAATAATATGACGTATTTGCACCCATGTGGCCTGTGGCCCTCAGGCAGCTTAATCTGAATATTGCTTTAATTGATCAGTTCTGTTTCCTGGCACTGGGAGCAGTTCTATGGTTTAAAACTAATATCAGATATTTATGTGGGTGTGTTCTATGAAATAATATTTGTCCACTACACAAAGAAAAAGTAACTTGATGACACAAGCTGGAGGTGTGTGCCAAAAAGTTGTGCAGCTGTGCATTTGTGCAGTGGAAAAACTCACTCATATAAGTCTTACAACTGTCACTGGTGTAGTTTAGTTTGGAGCTTAAAGTAGCAGCATATCTTTACTCTGGACAGGATGCAAAGTGACCAGCCTTGACCTACACATGAGCCATACATTTCCTCTTCCTCCCCTCCTCTTTTGTGCCCTCAGTCACAGAGTTCGTTGGTTAAACTGTAACCCATTTTTCAACAACAGGCCTTGTGCCTGTAGTTTCTATGTATGTACACACAGAGAAAGTGTTCTACTGATACCCACTGTTTAGTCACAGCTACATGTGGAGTTAGAAAAAGTTCACTTGCAGAGCTTTATTTTCCTTCAGATGGTTTATGGACAGGAGTGCCTAGCTCGAGAATTCTCCTATTGTGCATGTTATGGATTATTAACTTTACTTAAAATTCCTTGTTTTTATAGACTAAAGTCAGACTGTGCAGACTAATGTTGCTAAACATTAGCAGACTAAAGTTGCTTGTGGGTGACTAGCTTTATCTAAATGACATCAACTGACAAATTTTTGTGTTCTAGGTCATGAATTTGCTAATTGGTATAATTAGTCATTGCATTACCTGTGTCAATAAGGCAGAAACATTTCAAAGACATCTCCAGAATATATTGATAATACTATGATAATAATACAACAATATGATATGGCCCTGCCTACATCGTTACTGCACTTTGGGGTCCCTGGTACTCCTACTCATCTCCATAACATTTTCTATCTGTGGACAGTGATAAGATACAAGAGGAATGTCCAATACGTCATCTGCTTGTTTTAAAGGTCTTTGTCACTTTGATCTAAATGGGATTTTTAAATGGCCCCTCTCAGTGCTAAACCTCAGGCGTGCAATGACACCATCCATGTCTTGTCATGAAAATATGAATTACAGGATGCTGTATCTCTCAAGTAGACTTTTGTTGGAGTGAGTTGCCGGGGACTGCCAGGACTTGAACTTTGACCCCTGTTTGAAGAGGAAGGGTGTCTGGAGAAGCCAAAAAGAGTTTAGGACGAACTAGGGGAAAGATGCGGAAACTTCAGCTCTACAGAGACTTGGGCCAATGGGAAAGAAAGCGAGAGAGAGGGGAAAGAAGAGAGACAACAACAACTCCAGGCTGTACATTTTTGTGTCATAAAAAAACACTAGACAAAACTCATACTTGTTTATCAAGGAATTTGAGACATTTCCTGTAAAATTCCCTTTAGTGCTTTTGCAACGGTCACATGTGAAACTAATGCAGATAAATTGAATTACCTTCAAATACAAAATAATGATTACTATTAAGTTAGTAGTTAGTTCTATTATATGAATATTTATTTGCAAAATGATTACATCCCATTAATGGTTATAACCTTGAACCATATCCAGTCTCCACAAATCTATGAGAAAATTCATATTGCACATGATTTCTAATTACTACACCCTTGGAAGTTGCACTATTACAACAAAACACACATAACAATAGTAATTTTACATTTCTCGATCTCCATAAATATTATAGGCTTAATTAATTTAAACCAGGCATACCAAAGCAAAGCATATTCAGCCTTCAGTTAATGTCTGTTTGTCCAGTGATGTTATGGGCTCTTCCTCACTTCCTGTTTGCATTCCGTTCATTCTTTCATTGATTACCTTTCACTTATTCTGTTATGGCTCAGAGGAAGCAGAGGCCTCCCCATCTGCTTTGGGTATATACGATGGATGACACACTGGGGAGGGCATACGGGCTCCATGTACAGGGGTCAAAATCCCACAAAATAGCTGCAAAAACATTTTAAAAAGAAACGGTATAAGAAAAACAGCAATGGAATAAGAATTGTGACCAAACAACAAGAGCAACAACAAAAATATGGTTATACTTAATAAAAAGGTCAACATTCGCAACAGAACAGTGAGGCAATGATGTAAATATGTCGATACAATTTTAAAAAGTCAGAAAGACTCAACGCCCTTTGATTTATCTCACCAAAACATGCCTCAAAACACACACATTGAACAAGTGGTAAACATTAAAATACGAGATCATGTTTTGACCAGCTGCTGCTACTGCTTTTTTTTTTTTCAAGGCTATTTGGATGTGTGAGTCAAGTGTGTGTGCAGTCCGCCTGGGGAGTCTCCACAGGGCAGGTTTGGATCTGGTTTTTGGGCCTAAGATTTGGGACTGGACTGGAGTCTGAACTTTAGACTTTGGGGTTTAAGTGAGCGGACTCTGTCAGTCAAGGTCATGTGGAAATGTGGAGAAAGAATGTCTCCAGCTGCTGCCTGGAGGAACTCATGTTTATCATACAGAATAAGACTGCTTGTCCTGCTTGATAATCACATTGTTGAGCATTAGGGCTGGGTATCAATAAGAAGCTGCCGATACAATACATACCTCTATACATAGGCCACGATACGATACATATCTCAATACAGTGAGCTTACGATTCGATACGATTCAATATTTCAGTTCGATTGGATACGGTTCAGTAAAAAATAAAGGCTAAATCATGGCTGTGATACTGAAAGTCTTTGTCAAACCACTTCTTCTACAAAGTTAATATAAAAAACACAAAGATTTTAATCATCAAAAACAGTGAAAATGTCAAATGTGTCAAATAAACAAGTTTCCCTCTTCTGAACAAGCAACAAAACAGTAGCGCTATAACAAAATAATTTAGTAAAATATACAAAAAAATACTCTTGGAGATATATCGATACAGCAGCCCCACAATATCGATACTGTATCATCACATTAAACGATATATCGATATATCAATATTTTTGGACACCCCTAGTGAGTATATTGTAAAAGTAGTAGTAAACTAGAAAAGCACTCAGAGAGCGCAGACCTCCGCCAAGGACTACCCCCATTTTTTATATAAATTGCGATAAAATCAGTCTTCTGGATCAGATCCGGATCAGCCTTTGGAATATGAAAGAGGATCCCATTGTCCATCCCTGAGTCAAATTTCATGGGGTTTGGTCAATAATTAACCGAGATATTGAGAAACAAAATTTTTGGCCCAGAAGTGATCCAGAATCCAGGATTTCTTCTGGATCACCCCCAAAATGAAATCAGTTCTTCCTTTTCACATTTCCAACAAATCCTGAAAATTTCATCAAAATCAGTCCATAACTTTTTGAGTTATGTTGCTAACAGACAAACAAACAAACAAACAGACAAACACCGGCAAAAACATAACCTCCTTGGCGGAGGTAAAGATACAGAGTTGAGAGTTGATTTGCAAAAACACATATCCATACTTTTGTTACTTTCTTCTACAGATACCATCCTTGAAAGTTTTGTATAGTGGAATTTGTCAAAGAGGATCAAGTAATATTTTAATAGCAGCAAAATACATTTGCCTTTTGAAAACAATGCTATACAAAGTAAGAGTAAACTGCAAGAATTCAATTGCTTTTTTTTTTTAATTGCTTTTTTTCTCTCATTCTTCACATGTTATTAAAGTGAGCAGAGATAATTTGGTTTTAAGGGAGATGTGAAAAATGTATGTTTAAGAGCTTTCAACCATATTTAATTTTTTTTTTTACTTCTCATTTACCCACTCCAAATTGTATTTAGAGTGATTCATGCATGTAATCCTATTTTCCTGCATGTAATTACTGTACAGTGAAGTCAGTTAGGTCATTATAGTCATTAAATTGGAAGTTTTGATCATGTGACTGTTATTTTTTTTGTCGCAGCAGTTGATTTGGCTCTTTTTATATATGTATCTGATAACCTTCCATTCACTGCTCTGTCATGGGCAATGGGGGCTTGCACAGGGACACAATGATTGTACCTTGAGCGAGAATCGAACAAGCTACCCATAACGTTTGCACTGACTAATGCAATCTGGTGTGTTTACAGTATATCATATATCAAGTTTAATGCTATACTGTGGACTTTTTTTTAGACAAGCAATAAAAGCATTTGGCAGACTCCCCCATCAGAAGAATTACACTGTTAATCTTTATTTTAAGTTCATGTTAAGCAGTGTTTCATAATTCAAATCTCCATGTCTTTGCAGTCTGTTCCAGTG